AGAAGCCGAAATATCTGGTCAATGCCAATTTGAAAAAATTAGTTACACCAGCCATTGGAAGTTATTATGTCAGTGGTTTTTAATCTTGACTGCATATTTGAAATCATCTGGGGAAATGCACAATGTCCTATACCTAAGGTTCTGATGAACTTGTCTTCAGTGTGCTTCTTCCTTTCAGTGTTCCTAGAGCCCTTTGGGTGATTTTATGAAGCAGCTGGTAAGAACCTCTGAGGTAGACAAGTGCTCATGCAACTGATTCATTTTTTAAAAACAAACAAACACAGTGACTGTAGGAGAGCAAAATATTCAATAACATAAACCCTGGAACTAGCTTCACCTGGACTTGAATCCCAGCTCTGATCTTTTATAGCTGTATGACCTTAGGCTAAGTTAATATCATTGTGCCTCAGTGTTCTTATTTGTAAAATGGGAGCAATTAGAATACCTATCCCCTAGGGTTATTATAAATATTAAATGATGTTATATGTGGAAAATACTTAGAACATTCCTTAGAACATAGTAGGCACTATGAAATTATTAGCTGTCTGTGATCCTTTGCTGGTATTTCCTCAGCTGGATGTCTGACCTGAAATTAGTTCAATGGCCTGATATTACTCTAACAAGATGCTTAGTTCCCTGGGGCTGCTGTAACACATGGCCACAAGCTGGGTGGCTTAGAGTAACAATTGCCTCTCACCATTCTGGAGGCCAGAAGTCTGCAGGGTGTTGGTCAAACTGCTCCCTTTGGAAGCTCTACAGAAAAATTCATTCCCTGCCCCTGTCAGCTTCATGTGGCTGTCAGCATTCCTTGTCTTGTTGTGGCTTCTCTGTACTGTCTTCCCATTGCTTTTCCCTCTGGGTCTTTCCCCCCCCCTTTTTTCCATTTCTTTTTTTCTGTCTCTTTCTTGTATGAGGATATGTGTGATCTCACTTATGCTCCATGCAGATTATCCAGGATAGTTTCTTCTCAGGATCCTTAATTTAATCACATTTTTTTGCCATATAAGATAATTTTAACTTTTTAGTTACAATAAAGTAATATTCAGAAGTGATTGGGATTAGGGAGTGGGCATATCTTGTCTAAGGGCCACCATTCAACCCACTACACAAGGTCATAATGAAATGTAAGCGGATGGGATGTACCACTGACTCATTAGTCACCTTTGCAGTGGGCCTATACATCCCACTCTCTAATCTGTCCAAAACCATTATTTATAATGACAGGTCTGATCTGAGTGTACAGACAAGTGAATGTTTAATGCCAGTGTTTGTTATTTTTTGGGAAGGACTCAGGGAAGTGGGCCAAGGACTCAGCTGGTTGGCCCAATGCCCTTTGGCATACGGAGAGGCTCCAACAAGGAAATACATCTTGGTGGGTTCTGCTCCAAAGGGAATCATTTGGGGGAAACTCTATTTTATAATTGAATGCAACCTAAAACCTTCACCAATTCTGGCTTTAAACTTGGAAAAGTTTGGTGCTTACTTCAAAAGAGAACAGTGTGATGATGCATTAATCAGGACTCTCAGTTCCAAGTGACAAAAAAATCAATTCAGATAGCCTTAAGTAAAACCTGAACTTATTAACTCCCATAACTGGAAAATTCCAGATTGCTGCTATGGTTCCAAAGATACCATCAGGACCTGGTTTCTCTCTTCAGCTCTTGGCTCTACTTCTTTTACTGGCTCTTATTCTCAGAAAGGCTGTCCTTTGGGGTGGCAAGACAATGGTAGAATCTAAGAGCTTATATCCTCTCAGATCCAAGGCATGTGCAAAAAAGTAGTTCTATAAAAAATATAGATAAAACCTTATTGGTATTTGTTGGGTCACATGCCCATCCTTGCAACAATCACTGTTCCGATTGGCTGAGCAGCATGGAGAGGATGAACCCTCTCATGGGCTAAGACTGGGTGAGGAGGTGGGACCCTAGTGGAGAAACAGGGTAGTTACCACAAGAAAGAAGACTAGATGTTGGGTGGCAAGTATAACAGATGACTACTATAGATGCAACAAGATCATTGGACTAAAATGACTGAAAACCAAACGTGTCTTCTCTTGAAGGGCATGTGGGACTTCCCCCCAGTTTTATACTTTTATTTCAATTCTCATTTCCAATTGGAAATGAATGAATTGTTTTGAAGCAGAGGACTCTCATATACATCCCATTTTGCTGCCCCTTTGTAGCTAGTTGTGTGGCTTTAGAAAAATTACCACCCCTCTGTGAGCTTTATATTTACTGGCCCGGTGGTCACACACACACACACACACACACACACACACACACACACCCCTCAGGATAGATGTCTTCTTATTAGGACCATCATCACCAGGATGCATAAACAGAATAGGCCTACCTGAACACAGTCTGATTGATATCAAAAATCCATTTTGCCCCTACAACTCCTTGTGTGTGGTTCTAAAACATGACTGAAATTCCTCTTATTCAAGTGTTTCATTTGGTTCATAGCAATGTGTTTCTAGGGAGCCAGGTAAAAATGCAAGTTGATTCCAAGAAGAGGCAACATGAAATCCTCCAGCGTTGACTACTACTCACGTGCCATCTTGGATGGGATGAGCCAGACAGAGTCATTTTGTGAGGTGATTTTTATTGCCACATGCAAGCCAACCATCAAGACCTTCAGAAAAATGCTCTATCCTCCCACATCTGTTAGGATTCTTCTCTCACAACTTTTTTTTTGTCACTCAGGCAGGGTTTTCATGTACCGCAGGGATACTCAATGCCATAGGGAATATCTACATTGAAACATTATGTCTATAGTTCTTCTTTCCCCAAGGGTCTCCAGTTGCAAAATGGCACGTCTCCTCCTTAATCACAATTCTCATTTTCACAGTGAAGTAGATATTAGGTAGGGGAGTGCCACCTGATCACTATTTGATTAAAGTAACCACGTGAGGCACGAGTGAGTGACAGGCTCAGCTTTCTTTCAAGGAATAGCTTTTATCTTCAATCTTCTGTTTTGGTGTAAGAGGTTTGTTGAGCCGGATTCTTAGGTCTCTTCCTAGTCTCCTAAGATCAGTTGCAGATGTATCCACAACAGGTGCTAACTCCACTTTTGAAATCTTATTGGCCAGAGGTTTTAGCTATCACTTAGAAGACAATAGGAGGTAGAACATCCTGAAGGATTGGGAAAAAGGAATGGTATGTTTCCAGAAAAGAACTAGAACGATTTGAAGACTGGGAAATTTCCAGGAAAAAGAAACTGTTTAGGGTGTGAACATCCATGTCTATGTCATGCATGACTGGGATCCTGAGAAAGTAGGAGAAAGAGGGAAGCAGGAGGAGAGGGCCCACAGGGGATATGATGTGAGCAGACACAAAGACTAGGCTACAAAGGCCAGCTTTACTATGTAGGTCTGAGGCTGACCCTAGGCTTCCTACAGAGAAACTCTAATGACATATTTCCTGGTTGGAGAAAAAAAGAAACACTTAGTCATTAAGTTCTAATATGTGCCACTTGCATTCAGTTATACCATTTAATTCTTTCAACAACCTTCTGAGGTTGGTACCATTATTGTTATTATCCTTTTATCAATGGGAAACCGAGGTCCAGAGAAGTTAAACTACTAAGGTCATTTGGTAGTTTAAAAATATGTCCACAATTCTTTCTTGATGTGACTTCCTTGAAAAGATGGTATCCAATTTCCCTCTCCTTGAATGGGAGCCAGAATTTGTGATTTGCTTGTAACAAATACAATGTGGCAAAGTGATGGTGTGTGACTTTTGAGATGAAATCATAACAAACATAGATTTTGTTGGCATTCTCTCTTGGATTGCTTGTTCTGGGTGAAGCCTGCAACCATATCATGAGGATACCCAAGTGCCCTTGGTTAAACCCAATGTGGATAAGGCCCACGTGAGGAGAAGATGAGGCCTCCTGCCCACTGTTGGCACCAAATGTCCAGCCATATGAGTGAGCCATCTTAGAAGCAGTTCCCCCAGCCCTAGTCAAGCCTTCAGATGATTGCTGGTCTAGCCAACACCTTACTTGTGATTTCATGGGGAACTCTGAGCCAAGTCACTCCTGAATTCCTGACACATAGGAACTGTGAGTGAAAATACATGTTTACTGGTGTTTTTGACCACTAAGTTTTTAAAAATGGATTTTAGAAAGAGAGGAAGGGAGAAGGAGAGAGAGAGAGAGAGAGAGAGAGAGAGAGAGAGAGAGAGAGAGAGAGAAACTTTGATTGGTTGCCTCCTGTACTCGCCTTGACAGGGGATCAAACCTGCAACCTAGGTATGTGCCCTGACCAGGAATCAAACCCTCAACCTTTTGGTGTCCAAGCAACTGAGCCACATTGGCCCGGGCTCTTCTGGAAGTTTTAAGGTACTGATTTTTACATTTAAGTCTTTAATCCATTTTGAGTTAAATTTTGTAAGTGGCGTAAGATAGGGGTCCAGTATCATACTTTTGGATGTGGATATCCGATTTTCCTAAACCATTTATTGAAGAGACGATCATTTCCTCTGAGTATTCTTGGATTCCTTATCTAATATTAGTTGACTGTATATGTGTGGGTTTATTTCTGGGTTCTTGATTCTGTTCTATTGGTTTATGTATCTGTTTTTATGCCAGTACCATACTGTTTTTTTTTATTACTATGACTTTGTAATATAGTCTGAAATAAGGAAGTGTGATGCCTCCAACTTTGTTCTTCTTTCTTAGAATTTCGTTGGTGCTTCAGGGCATTTTGTAGTTTTATACAAATTTTGGATTGCTTTTTCTATTTCTATGAAAAATACCATTGGAATTTTGATAGGGATTGTATTGAATTTACAGATGCCTTTGTACAGTTTAACAATATTAAGTATTCTGATTTATGAACATGGGACATATTTCTTACAACATTACTGAAGTAATTTGTAGTTCTTATTTATTAGGCTCCATATCAACATTTGCTGGTGTGTGTGGGGGGTGGAGCCATGGTTTTTTTTTTTTTTTTTTGTTTTGTTTTTTTTTTTTTTTTTGTGGCGCTTGACTGTAGTAGAGCAGCTGTTTTCTTAAAAGTTTCATCATGCTGGATTGCTCCTTTTCCTGGTTGTTTGATAGAGACCAGGATGTCTTTAAACTGGATGTCTAAGAGGAAGTTGGTCATATGAGTCTGAGTTCAAGGACTACAGCCATCCTGTCTGGAGACATAAATTTGGGAGTGGTCATTCTATTGATGATATTTAAAGATCTGATACTAGATGTGATTACATACATGGTGACTATGAATAAAGAAGAAAAGAGCCCTGAGCCCTGGGGCATGCCAATATTTAGAAGCCAAGGGGGTGAAGAGAAACCAGCAAAGGAAAATGAAGAGAAATCTGCGACGTAGGAGAAGAACCAAGGGAAAGTGTTGTGCTGGGAGCTGAATGAAGGAAGTGTTTCCAGAGGATGGAATGATTACCTTGTCAAATAAGAGAGCTGAAAATCGGCTGTTGGATTTGGAAATGTGGAAGTCTCTGGTGGTCTTGCCAAGATGAGTTTCTATACAGGGGAGGAAGGGAGGAAAGAAGAGGAGAGGACAGATGGTGAATATGGACAACTATTTGGGGGCATTTTGCTGTAAAGAAAAAAGAGGTGGTGGTTTAAGGGGGAGATGGGGCTGAGGAAGGAGTATATAACAAGTAAATATATGTATAGAAACTTAGTATTTAGATATAGAACTTGAATTTATTTTGATTGACAATAAAGTCTAAAATTTCATATAGTGAAAAGTCTTCAATAAGCTTGGTAATCTTAGCAATAGCATTTATATTTGAACAAGACTTAGTTGAATATGAGTTAGTCTATGCAAGATGTATAATTTTAAAGGTTATTTCTTTGGTTAAATTGGATTTGCAATTTCAGTTAACCCTTTCCAATAAGAGTCCCCCCAAATGAATATTTACTTAGCAGTGATAGAAAATTTCATATTTACAGAGTACTTATCAGTCTCATGCATCAGAACAAACACAAAAGAATGAAAAGTTACATAAGAAATGTAAGGGAGAAATAAAGTGAAGTGCTCTCAGATCAGGGATACTGAGTCCCAGGCCTTGTGTGGGCCATGGGATCTGAAGGTGAAACTCATCTGCAACCCTCCACAGCATTAATTTCAGCTTGACTCTTTCCCCCTTCCTCATCATTGTTTTTATTGCTTTCTACATGGAAACATTTATTTTGAACTGCTTCCAGTTTTCCGACATCAAAATGATTTAGATCAGAAGAACTGTATTTCTTCTCCAGGACTCCTGCCTCTCCAGCGCCTTTTGCTGGTGCTGTGTTCACCAACCTCCTTTCCTTCTACTGGGAGCTCCAGCTCGGCCACATTTCCCAGGCTCCCCTGTAGTTTGGTGGAGCCAAAGCAATGAGGATGGGAGTAATGGACACCACTGCCAGCCTGCAGCCTGGCCCTTTGGATGACCTTTACAGTCATCCATGCTCTCTCCCTCCCCTGTCTGCTGCCTGGAGGAGGAAGATGCGCTGGAAGAGCCTGGCTCTGGGTTGCAGAGCACAGCATCACCCCTGAGCAGGTTTGCACAGTGGCCTGAGCAAGAAATGAGCTTTTACATGTGGGATCTCTGAGACTTTGGAATTGTTTATTATAGTGGTGAGCCTGCGATTGATACATACTCCTTTGGTTGAGATGCGATAGTATTGACTTTGCATTCAGACTTAGGAGGTCCGGAGGATAGGGGTGGGAGGATGCATGGTTTAATTTGAAAGCATGGCTACATGCACTGTATCTTGTATGCAAGGACTTTGTCTTTGGACTTAGTTGGGGGCAATGCATGTCACTGAGAAGGAGATATTTAGTAAATTTACTAGGAAAAAAAGTAAGTTGGATTCTTTTTTTCTTTTAAAGATTTTTAAAATTGATTTTGAGAAAGAGAGAGAGAGAGAGAGGGAGAGAGAAACATTGATGTGAGAGCAAAACATCAATCAGCTGTCTCCTGCATGCCCTTGACTGGGTATCAAACTGGCAACCTTTTGGTACACAGGAAGATGCCCAACCATCTGAGCCACACTGGCCAGGGCAAGTTAGATTCTTATTGAACTTCTTACAACAAAATAACTCCAGATGTATCAAAGTTTTAAACATAAATATTATTAAATTAATGGGAAAATTTGAGTTATAACAAAATTGTGTTTGAGTGGATACACTCTAGAAACAACCAAAATATTCATCAAAGCAAAACAGATAAACCCATGTGGTATATTCTTACATGAGAATAATATGTAACAATGAAAATAAATGAAGTATAGCTATACACAGCAATATGTTTGAGTCTCAGAAACATAATGATGAGTTAAATAAACAAGGCATTAAATAATATGCTAAACATCATAGAGTCTGGTTCACTTTATATGGAATTAAGAATGAGCAAAATAAACTATCTTTTTTAGGAATGTATGCAAATGTGGTAAAATTATACAGGGGCAAAAGGAAATGATTATTATAAAAATCAGGATGGTTACCTCTGGGGTGATGATGGTACTGTGAACAGAGAGGGAGCTATGGGAGGCTTTTTGGGTGATGACTGTTCTATTTCTTGACTTAATGACTATGTGTGCATTTATTTGATAGTGATTCATTAAACTACTCATATAGGTTTATGAGCTTTCCTGTTGTATTGCACCATAGAGAAGAAAACTTATGAAGAGGATGTAATTTGATGTATAGGATTTAGCACACCTTGGGCAATATTTTATTTTGAGGTTATTTATGTTTTTAAGTGCTTCTTCCTAAATTCCTCTAGATCCATAATTCTTAACATTTAGAGATGTTTCTACTTGCTCAAGGGATTCTGTAGCCCCTTTATAGGGGATGCTATAATATCAGTAATGAAATCACATAAGAAAGACATTATGGAAAGCCATACGGTCAGGTGGCTGTTATCAAAATGCCATTCTACTGGCAGATGGGGTAAGCCAGACTGTACCTTTCTTCCCATATCATCTGGATTTTCTTCTTGATTTATCGAAAGCATCAGCATCCAGTTCTGGGCTCCTAGGATTAAATTTACCAACTACTATATGTGGGCATGGCATTTACCTGTCAAGATGGTTGTAAGAATAAAATAAGATAATAAATGGTGACTACAATGGCTTTTAATGAAACAAGACAAACAATATCATAAATACATGTTTTAGGGCCAGATCATGTTCTTTTGTTGCACAAATTTAAGGAAAAATATTTTTCTAAAATAGGTTTGATGTGATGATCTGCTTGAAACCCTTTCCTCTTGTTGATATATATATATTTTTAACAAGGGATCCCGACCTTTCTCCCCCTCTGCCCCAGGACATTGGTTTACCCCTTCCTCATGAGAGGGAGGCCTTTTCCAGTCGCGGTGCTTTTCAGAGGCTTTGTCTTCTGTACGGGAAACGGACTCCTGCAAGGCTACTACCTGACTCACTGCACTGAGTACCCTGCCGAGTGGTACACAGACATACGGTTTATCCTGGGTAAGTACATCTGACCACTTTTCACCCAACACGGCTCTCCACCGTCTAACTCACCATCACCTCTACCCCCACCTCACAGTAACCCCTCAATGATTCCATTCTCCCCTCCTCTCACCCTTACCCTCATCTTTTCTCTCTATAGCAACCTGAGAGAGCTTTGAAAAACATCAAAACATCATGTCATTCATTCCTCAGCTCAGAACTCTCCGATGGCTTCAGGATAAAATGCAAATTCCTTACCACGGCCCATGAAACCCACGTGTCCTTGGTTCAGCCCCATTTCCCGACCTCATTTCCAGCCTCCGTCCACCTCATTGCTGTGCTGTGGCCTCAGTGGCCTTCCTACTGAGCCTTAAATGGTCAAGCTGGTGCTGCTTCAGAGCTTTTCTGTGCAGACCACTCCCTCTGCCTGGAATACTCTGATCCTATATGTTCATGAAGCTTGGTCCCTCACTTTATTTAGGTCTTTATCAATCTACGCCTCCTCTAATAGACTTTCCCTGACCAGCTATTTATAAGATTGTAGAAAATGCTAATTATTGAAATTGTTTCATTATCTGTGAGAGGAATTAAAGTCCAGGAAGGTTCAACTATTTATATGTTATTATGGCTCAGACCAAAAATCTAGGGATTGCCTTCAGTTCCTCTCTTTACATTACGTAGCACATTCTAGCCATCAGCTTAGTGCTACCGCCTGTAGCTCCAAAATGTGACAGGGGTGCTTACTTCACCCTGGTCCAAGCCACAGTGACCTTCAAACTAAACTGGCCTACAGTAACCCCTTGTCCACACAGCGGCCAGAGTGAACGTTTGAGAGTACAAACAACCAGAGGATCAGTTGTACGAATGCTGAAACATGTGCACAATGGAGTATGCTGGAACCACAAAAACAACAAAGGAAAACAAACAGAAGCAAAAAAGATCTCTGTGTGCTCGTGTGGCGACAACTCTGTCCCTTTTGGGGGTGGGGTGAGGCATATCTTAGTACTATTCTTAGAATTCGAAATTAAATGCCCTTTCCTTCATTTTCAGAAAAAAACTTGGCTTGTGCGAAAAACATCAAAATCAGGACACAGTTTTCACTTCCCTTTCTCTTCTTTGCCTAGGTGTTTGCTTATTTGTCTTGGGAATGGGAATCAACATTCATAGTGACTATCTATTGCGCCAGCTCAGGAAGCCTGGAGAAGTCATCTATAAGATTCCACAAGGTAATGTCTCCCTTCCCCCTCCAGATTCCCAGTCCTCCTAGGGAGCATGTCCCAGGAATTATGCGGTAACAAATGGAGGGGGTGCACGGACAATCCGGGGACTTCTTCCCCCATCCCATCTCACCCCACAACACATGCATTTCTGATCTGAACCCTCAAGTCCCAGAGAGGTACAAGAGTTCTTCAGAGAAGCAGAACCAATACGCTGTAGGTAGAAATATATAATGTTTATTATAAGGAATTGGCTTATATGATTATGGAGGCTGAGGGCCCAGGATCTGCCCTCCGCCAGTTGGAGGCCCAGGAGAGCAGGAGTATATGTTCCAGCCAGAGTGCAGGGGAGGACAGACCTCCCAGCTCAGTCAGTCAGGCAGCGCGATTCTCCCTGCTCGACCTTTTTTGTTCCATTCAGGCCCTCAGTGGATTGGACGAGGTCCACCTGCCGTGGGGAGGGCAATCTGTTTACTCAGTCTATCAATTCACATATGAATCTCATCCAGAAACACCCTCCTGGACACACTCAGAATGTTTTACCAAATATCTGGGCACTCCATGGCCCATTCAAGTTGACACAAAAAATGAACTATTATGTGTACACAGAGTGTTGACACTTCCTAGGCAGCAAATAGAGCTGAATTATGATGACCAGCAGATCTGTCCTCTTCAATGAAGCCTCACTAGATTTATCTAATGGGTAGTCAGGGGTAGCACTTGCATATTTCCTGCCACTTGTATACTCTCAAAGGCAGAGATAATCATATATACTTAATTAAAAATTAGGATGAGATGTGTTACAAGTGCATTTTCAGAGATAAATTCTAATTGCTC